TGCACATACATATTTGTGACATGATGTACCTTGTGTGTGTGAAGTTTGAACTTGATCAATCCAGACATGTCTCGGATACGGATCCAGAACTGAATTCTTTAAAACAAAATGGCCGCCAGTCGGCCATTTCGAACTTGATCCGAAAAAAAAAAAACGTGCATCAAGGTCCTATTATGTTTAATTTATGTACCAAATTTGAACGAAATTAGTCCATGCATAACTGAGATCCGGGTTCGGACTGGTGAAAATGTTCGATTTCAATACATTTTCGGCCTTAAATCGGCCCCCATTTGGCTATTGTTAATGAGATCATGAAACAAATGCACATACATATTTGTGACATGATGTACCTTGTGTGTGTGAAGTTTGAACTCGACCAATCCAAGCATGTCTCAGATACGAATCCAGAACTGAATGCTTTAAAACAAAATGGCCGCCAGTCGGCCATTTCGAAATTGATCCGAAAAAAAATGAAGTGCATCAAGGTCCTATTATGTTTAATGTATGTACCAAATTTGAACAAAATCTGTCCATGCATAACTGAGATCCGGGTTCGGAATGGTGAAAATGTGCGATTTCAATGCATTTTCGGCCTTAAAATGGCCGCTATTTGGCTATCGTTAATCGGATCATAAAAAAAAAATCATGTGCATATGTCCCATATAATGTGTGATGTATGAGTGAAGTTTGAACATAATCGGTCCATGCATATTCGAGATACAGGTGATCACGGACGCACGATCGCACGCACACAGGGCAAAACATAAGTCCCCGTTTTCGGACTACGTCCGAACGGGGACTAAAAATGACGTACATCAGGAACACAATGTCTAATGTATGTACAAGTTTCAACAAAATCAATCCATGATATTTGATGGTTTTTTAGCACAAAATTGGCCGCCATTTGGCCATTTCGAATCAGACAGTCAAACCAATGTACCTGTATATCTATGTCATGATGTATAATGAATATATAAAATTTGAACATAATCAGTCAAAGCATGGCAGAGATATGGCACTGCATTTATTAAAACAAAATGACCACCAGTCGGCCATTTTAAATCTAATCTGAAAAATAAAATGACGCCCATCAGAAACTCATAAATGACAGAAATACTTGATACTTGCGTCCGAACGGAGACTAAAAATTTGAAAGTCACCACCTCTCATTAGAGACTATCAGTATGGAGAATTTCAGATCAGACCAATCCTTACAGCAGTTTTCTCAAACGACTTGACGAAAAAAGTTACGGAAGAAATATAGAAGTAGATGAAGAAAGAAGAAAAAACTGATGATGGCAATAGGGGCCCTTCAGGCTTGGGAACCTGAAAAAAAAACAGTAATGCTCATCATAAACAGAGCACACATATTAAATATACTGGTAAATATTCCCATGTGGAGAGGAGAGGAGGGGAGAGGAGAGAGGAACCACATACGAGTGCGTACATGTGCGCATGTAATTTTAGTTGGTCCAAGCAGCATGGTTTGAAGTAATGGTCTACTAAATACAGTACATTTTATAAAGACTGATGTTTGATGACTTTTTTAGCACAAAAATGGT